CAAGCCGCGCGCATGGGTGAGGTTTTCTACACGCGCTTCGTCCCGAGCCAGGGCCAGTATCTTTCCTTTCCGCGTCGCGTCCCTGGCGCCCAAACCTGTCCCGTACCTGGGCCCCGTCGGCTCCTCGCCACCCGATCATCCTCACCTGCTGACCCTTTCCGACACGGCTCTCATGCAGCTGTGGCTGACGAATCCTCGCGTCTCTGCGTTTTGGGGCTCATACACGCCCAACTTTCTCAGCGATGCCCTCTCGTCGCGTCACTCGTTCCCCGTCATTGGAATGTGGGACGGCGTGCCCTTTGGCTACTTCGAGATCTACTGGGTCAAAGAGGACGTGTTGGGCCGGCATCTTGGCGGCGGCGTCTGTGACTGGGATCGTGGACTGCACGTGTTTGTGGGTGAGGAATGGGCACGTGGAAGAGTCCCCGCGTGGTTGTCGAGTCTGATACACTGGTGTGTCACGGAGGATTACCGGACCATGAGTGTGTGCTTTGAGCCGCGCATCGACAATCAGAGGTATGTCTCGTCTTCATTTCGCTGGCCAAACAGGCGACTGATGTGTCGTCGTAGGTTCATTCAGCTGCTCCAGCAGTCACACTTTGCAAAAGAGCGGGAAGTTGCCCTGCCGCACAAACAATCTGTGTACATGCGTCTCGGCAGAGAGGCGTGGGAGGGCCCTGCATTGTGATAAAAGGATGTTGCGTGTTTGCGCCAAATCCTCGTACTCAAGTGTTGGTAACGTGAAAAGCCCTGTAACATGGTTGAAATGCGCTTTTGGAACAAATGGGATTTGGGGGGGGGGGCGGGCCTGGCGCCACCTTGAAGTTCAGGGCAAATACCAGTCCGAGCGCTTCCTTTCCCCAGACTGGCTGGGCCAGCAGGCGGCGACAGAACCTATGCCAAGAAGCGGAAGCAAGCGGAACGAGCTCCTAGCCTGTCCGATTGACATGGGACACGCAATGGCTCTCAGATCAACAAGTGACGATCACTAAGAATGTCCGACACAAGGCAATTTCTACGCTCCAGCGCTTTCGTGGCTCGAGCTTTCGTGGCTCGAGGCTGTGTAGGGCGTTTACGCAGTGCAACGTCTCTGGCATCTGGCATGTCGGACACGACTAGCAGGAGGCCCGGATAAAGTCAAAACGGTCACACAGAACTCCTCCAACACCGGGCGCTCGGGTCGAAGCGGCACGCTCGTACGTATTCGCAGAATCCGTCTCCGGATAGCAGGCCGACGGAGGGGGGTGTTCCCGGACGTGGGTGCAGGGATCATGACCTAATTTTCATCGCTCTTCCGCCCTCTTGAACAGTCGCATCTGGGTCTTGGTTCGTTGCAACGGCGGATACCGGGGTGGCTCTTAAGGTTCGGCTGATCATCATACTAAGAGGCAAATGGGGTATCGAGCGCGGCTGAGACCATCTCTGAGGTCCCCCGGCCCTCAGGCTAGCTGTCTTTGCGCTGGGTTGTCTACTATGGCTCGCAAGTTTGAACACTCTCGGCCGGCAAACCCCCTCTCGGGTCTTGGGGAATTGCAGATGAAAAGAAAAAGTCTCATACCCGTCCATCGGTGACCTGAGTCGCGCGCACTTACATCGCCGTGATCCCAACGAGTCTAGTCTGCACGACAGCTACTACGTACGAGGGAAGTCGCTCCTCCTGCCTGCGGGAATCGTTGGCAGCTCTTAAACCTTCAAGGCTTCATTTGTTCCTCGTGGCAGACGATGCGCCACGTCATTCGTTACCTTGAGTAGGATCAAGCGATGATGAACAAGGTACCTGTTTGTCACTCACAATATGTCTTGTAGAGTTTTGCTCAGCTTCTGAGCGGTGAGCAAATGAAATGTGCTCTCCAGCCCCAATGCCCACCCCTCTGGGCTCTTCAAGCTCGACCGCACTTGTAATGGTGACAATGAACGAACAGAAGCTAGGCAGGGCTGGGCTAGGCTCCATCTGGGTGTCTCTCTCTCTCGTGCCTCGCCTGGTGATTGGAAATTCCAAAAGAGATGACCAGTTGCGCGGGTCACTGTCACAGCGAGCACCCATGACTAGCATCCATGTTACCCTCGTCCCTCCCCGAGTGTGCGTCGGCCAAAGAACGGACGGAGCCCTTTTTGGTGCCTTTTTCTCATCCCTCAGCATTCATCTTATGGCACTCGCCCGCCGTTGATGTTTCCACAAGCGTGTCTCCTCTCCGACCAAACCCTCTGGGGCCTCTCTCGCTGAAATCGAGCATCAAGCCTGGAACAGCCGAAAAACAACGCTTGACGGCGGTTCCACCACTCCGCCGACTCGCGCACGTCCACATACCTACGACAATCCTAGGGTCCCCTACGGCGTAGGTCCCCTTTCGCTGGCGCAGAGTTCAGCATAGACTACTGCCATCTTGAGCATCTGGTGGCGTCGTATCTTGCCGAGTCTACCGCCCCCAGCGCCTGGTCCTGGGCTCAGGGCCGTGCTGCTACCTGTGAGACTGGTTCACGACCTGCGCAGATCGCAAGGAAGAACGGCGCGAACGAAAAGCCGTCTACCGTCTCCTCGCTACACAGCAAAAAAAAAAAAAAGAAGTCGCCCGTCCGTCCTCTCTCCAACCAGAGCAGTCGTCAACCCCGGACTGATCCCCGACCTGTCCCTCCCTTTCCCGCTTGGGGCGTTTGCTTGTTTCTTGTGGCTGTCAACCCGTCACTTTTTTTTTTTTTGTTTTCCTACGTCTTATCCGCGGAACCTACCACGTCCATCCCGGTCGGCACTCACCTGGGGTCCCCAATTGCCCTTAACAAGGTTGTGCTCCCCCCCCCTGGCCAGTTTCTCTGAACCCATCCTCCCTCGTCCAGCGACTATAACACTCTAAGCGGCCTCCCATTTCAATCCCATGGCGACGATCTAGAGAAGTATCGTCGTCCCCGTTCCCCATCCCTTCGCCCTTTGCGAGCGCATGCCGCAGATCATGGTGACGCCTCATCCGTCGCCTGAGCCTCCGCCACCCCTCCCCTCCTCCACCGACGACGCCGCCGCCTCCCCTCCGCCTCGCGACAGGCGGCGCCCGTGATGAAGACTCTGATTCCTCCACACTTCGTCCTCGAGGAGGTCTCCCGCTACGATATCATCATCGCCTCACTCGCCCTCGGCTTCACCATTGGCTTTGGCTGGCTGACGACGTGGACGGCCGCGAAGCAGACGAAACATGTGTGGCGCCGTCACGGTATGCGCGTCTGGCGCAATGCCTATGTGTGGATGATCTGGCTCGAGATTGCCGTCTGCCTCGTCTTTGCCATTATCTGTTTCCTGTATCTGCTGCACGTTATACCCCCTAGGTACGTTGCGTCCAATCTCGGTCCTGTTTTGGTTTGTCCATTTTCGTTGTACGTTTGGTCTTGCAGGGGTTCAGTCCTGGTGTTTGTGACTGCCGCTGCATCCTGCGGCTACGGGGGTGCGATGCATGTGAGAGAATACACAAGGCTGACCGTCACTCCAGCTTTGCATTTTACTTTACCATCTGTGGGTGAACCCTCCCCCGATCCCGTCATCGTCATGTGTTGGCTTGGCAGACAGAAAGCAAAGCACTAACATGGCCCCCCCCCCTTGCCAGTGACCATGTGGGCGCTCCAGGTGCAGTTCCTGCTCCAGATCATCGTCAACCGATGCGCCATCCTCATGACGGACCCCAACAGGGCCTTGCGCCTGAAATGGGGCATCGCCGCCCTCATCACCCTCGTCAACATATCCGTCTACTGCATCTGGATCCCCGCGCGCCTGCAAATCTCGGAGCGCTACGTCCACATCAACGAGTGGTGGGACCGCTGCGAGAAGGGCATCTACCTCATCGTCGACACCATGCTCAACTTTTACTTTATCCACATTGTCAAGAAGAACCTCATCATGCACGGCCTCACCAAGTACCGCTCCCTCGTCCGCTTCAACATGTTCATCGTCGGCTTCTCCCTGAGCATGGACGTCTTTATCATTGGCATGATGAGCCTTGGCAACTCGTTTGTGTACATGGTACGTGCTGTTGGTGCTGCTGCTGCTGCTACTCCGGCGGTAGCATCGAGTCACTCGCTGTCTTCGAAGGCTAACTCGTTCCCCTTCTAGCAAGTGCACCCCCTCGCCTACATTGTCAAGCTCAACATTGAAATGTCCATGGCCGATCTCATCGGCAAGATTGCGCGCAACCGCAACTGCGGCGTCATCGCCGAGGGCACCTTTACCGAATCGCTCGACTCGAGCGGCGGCGGCGTCCGGACGGCGTCGAGCATGACCGACGACGTCGAGGGCGACCTCGACCAGACCTACCGGCGTCGCGTGCCCGTCAGCACGTCGCCACGGGCAGCAGCATCAGAACGGCGTCACGCTCGAGCTGACGGACATTGTGCCGCCGCGCCGCGACCGCCGGCAGCTACCGCCGCTG